TTTGTCCTAGATGGTTTGTTTTTTTTTTAAGATTTATTTATTTGACAGGCAGAGATCACAAGTAGGCAGAGAGGCAGGCAGAGAGAGAGGAGGAAGCAGGCTCCCCGATGAGCAGAGAACCCTGGGATCATGACCTGAGCCACCCAGGCGCCCCCTAGATGTTTTTGTGTGGGCTTGTGAAGGAGTGATCCCCTGTAATGTCACCATATTACCTTCTTCAGTTGCATTTAGATTTTAAGTAAGAGATGAACTGTGTTTTAGCATGCAGAAGTTGACAGCTTGTTTGGTTTTTGTCTCAGGGGACGCCCTCTATACCTGCAGCTGCCACTCTGTCTACAGTAATATCTGGGGATCTGGATCTGTTCACTGAGCAAGCTACAAAGTCAGAAGAGGTGGCAAAGAAACAACTCTCCAAAGACTCCATCTTATCTTTGTATGGTACAGGAACCATTCAGCAACAGAGTACTCCTGGTAATTCATTTTAAAATCTGCTGTCAACAACTTGTAGTGACTAGAAATATACCCATTGTTATTTTTCTATGTAATGAGTGCTTTTGTTGCAATTTGTACAAATACAAAATTGAAATGAATCATTAGAATTAAGCATATTACAGGATTCACAAAACTTTATTCACTTAGAATTAAGCTGTTCATGTATCACTTAATATTGTTTCACAAGCTTACAGAACATGGTTTTTGATATTGTTTCACAAGCTTACAGAACATGGTTTTTGAAGAATTACCTTGATTTGCATGAAGTTTACAACTTTTGTGTACAGTATTTTTCTGTTAGTAAACAACAAGCATGGTTATCACAAGAATTCCAAAACTTCGAGTTTTTAATAATTAAAATGAACTACTGCACAGTAAGATTTGTTGTTTACATAATCTGTTAGACCCCTTTCCTCTAAATAGTGAGCTGAAGTTAGAGAACATCCCACCTGCTTCTATTAAAGGCAGACACCATCAGCTCTCACTTGTGTGTTTGATAGGGGGAGCCCAGTGGTACACATCTACACTAACAGCATATAATCTTATGCTACGTAGTTTGGGTATTTTCTATAACTATTGCATAAGATTTACTTGTCCTAATTAAATGTGCTCAGGTTTATAACTGCCTTCTGGAAGTAACCAGTTATGAGAGTATTGGTATGAGTTCGAGCAGTAGGAGCAGACTGGAATTAAAATTTTTGCTGTGGGTAGTTCAGAAAGATGGTGATCCTTTTTCTGTGATTACAGAGGTAAGTGTAGTTGTATACAACAGTCCTGTTTTCTCATTTTCTTTTCATGGTTCTTAAAAATGTAGGTGTGTTTATGGGACCCACAAATATACCATTTACCTCACAAGCACCGACTGCATTTCAAGGTTTTCCATCAATGGGCGTGCCTGTGCCTACACCTGCAGCTCCTGGCCTTCTTGGAAATGTGATGGGACAGAGTGCGAGCATGATGGTGGGCATGCCCATGCCCAATGGGTTTATGGGAAACGCACAAACCAGTGTGATGCCACTTCCTCCAAATGTGGTTGGCCCGCAAGGAGGAATGGTGGGACAGATGGGTGCACCCCAGAGTAAGTTTGGCCTGCCACAAGCTCAACAGCCCCATTGGAACCTCTCACAGGTAAGGGGTCATTTCCAAAATCAAAGAGACTGGATTTATTTTCTAAATGGTTTTATTTAATCTAACAACCTGGCAGAAAGATTTGAGTAGGGGTAATGTATAAGGTGAGAACTGTTCATAGGTATTACGAAGTTACATCACATAGACAAATGAGCTGTCACTGACTGTATTGAGAATATGCTGTAAAGAAATGTTAAGCATTTTTTCATTTCAGGTTATAACACTGGCAAACATCCTATTTGTAATCACTAGAAATTATCTTGGGCATCTTGAGAGACTTCTTGTCTGTTCCACGCCCACCCCCCTACCCCCCATGGAAATTAGCATCAAGCTTTTAACCCAGCTTCCTGGTGGAATATTTTAATAGTCCACTTAGACCAGCCTCCTCTTCTCAAAAGCGCTATTTTATGAGGGATCTAGGCTGTTCTCTATGTCATTTGACTACTGCCCTTGGCTTTATAAGAAATACTTTTGTTTAAAAACCTTTATAATGTTGGGTTTCCTTTTTACTTAGGGACAGGTCCACATTTGTCTCAGACATCGCTTCGTATGTTAGTTTAAAGCCCAAAGCTGACATTTTAGTATACCTTCTTTCAAATCAGTTTCTGTTTTAGTGCTCCATTATTCTGACCTTAGACTTGGATTCATGCTCCAGCAACTCTTCCCTTCACAGTTCTTATCTGATGTTCCTCTAGCATTTGGGGGATCTTGGTTTCTGTTCTGGTCAGCTGTTTACCTTGAGAGCATTCTGGGAACCATCTATAGTGATAACTAACATTACCAAAACACTGTATATCACATGAATGCTTTTACGGTCACTATTTATAGTAGTCTCCACACCCAGTGTGGGGTTCATACTCAAAACCTTGAGGTCAAGAGTTTTATCCTCCACCAACTGAGCCAGCCAGGCACCCCTCTAGTCACTATCTAAAGGAATTACCAGGGGATGGCTCAATTGGTTAAGCATCGGACTCTTGATCTCTATCCTCTGGGAACCTCAAGTACCAAACGGCAGTAACAGCTTTTGTGTAGACAAAGTGCTGAAGCACGTCCAGTTCAGGTTAAGGTACTAGATGAATCAGTAAGGAGTTAGCGTTGGCCCTTACTTCCAGGCATGCTGCTGTTTTCCAGAACCCTCTCAGTGCAAGGTTGTTATAGCATCCTTTAGTAGGTATGAGGAACTAGACACTTACGCCTTATCGGCAATGTAGGGTATTAGTGTTTTTGCAAAATAACAAATGAACTTTATTAAGAATACATTCCAACACCAAGCATAGATTTTGAATCCACTCTGTGCTTTGTGATAAATCTTACCTTTCCTTTACTTATCATCAATCTTAGAAGGGAGAAGGTTAGGATGCTTCTATACATATATGATTCCAGTCTGGAATAAAAATACAGGTAATCTTACACCTTATATAATGAAAATTAATTTTAGATGTTTAGTGGTTAACTGAACTAAAGAAAAGTTATGCTTTATGATCTTTTTTAATATTTAGAAAATAGAACCATTTAACATTTTAATGAAGACAATAATAAGTGTCATACACAACGTATAATTTTGGAATATTTTACTTTCTAAAATTTCCCCAATCCTTACCGTTAAAGCACGACATGCTGGTAGAGTTGAAAGTTAGGATAGTGGACTCAGATACAAATTCAAAGATTGCTTTGCTACTTTTTTTTTTTCAATTTGAGGTTAATCTTTGGCGGACAAAAAAAATGAAGTCTTGAAAATGAATAAATAGAATATAATTGAGATCATTTTATGGACAGTATTAAAAAAGGTGGAAGGAAATGAACAGGAAGGGAACAAAGTAGCTTTCTCTAGGGAAATATTGTTTGGTAGTCTGCTTTTACTCCTGTGCTTTGACTAATTTTCACATTGATGAAAAATACTTACATTTGCTATTAAACTTCATTATCTGATAAATTAATCTCAAATAAAGGCAGCTTCTAATACAACAGGGTAACTTAAAAATGTCTAACTATGGCTAAAGAAACAAGAATTAAAAGTGAAGTAAGCCTCTTAAAATAAGATTTTATGTTTCACAGATGAATCAGCAAATGGCCGGCATGAGTATCAGTAGTGCGACCCCAACAGTGGGTTTCGGCCAGCCCCCCAACACAACAGCAGGATGGTCTGGAAGCTCATCGGGTCAGACTCTCAGCACACAGCTGTGGAAATGAAAACTGCAATGCAAGTTTCATCCAGAACTACCACCTGACATTCCTTGCTAAAACGCATCTAGTTCCCGTTTATTCATGTACATATATTTTTTTTCTTTTTCCCCATTTGTTCATATTAAGAATTATCTGACTGACCGTGTTGGTCTGTACTGATTAAAATTTGATGTGAAAGCAGGTTGAGAAACCATTTTATGTCAAGGGCAGCTTAGCTCCTTTCCCATGATTTCATAGACCACATTATTTGAGAAGCTGCTCAGTCAACTTGCGTAATCAGTTTTACTCTCAATAAAATGATAGCTCTAATGTCTGCATATAAGGGAAGTAGTTATCATGTTAGTAATACCTCTAACAGTATAAACCCCACCCCCAAATTAGCTAGTAATCCTGTAGGAAGGTACTGTATGATCGAACATTTAATCATATAAATAGAATGTAAATGTATCACTGAGCACTGTTTTCTAGTGTATCAAAATTCTTTTATTTCATCATTCACTTCACTGTGCTGTTGTTATGATGTGCTTAACAGGGAACGTGGTTAGTGAAAGGAAGATAAACCTGGATGTTACTACAAAACTTAGTTTAACAAATGTTTAAAGAACTCAAATTTTATCTGCCTCTCTTGTAATTTGGAGCTCTTCTTATGTACATAGTGCTAATAACACGAAGACCTTTCTCTGCACTATATGCAAACAGGGTAACTAAACAAAGCCACTTTCAATCCTTGAAGGTATATCCAGGTTTATGACAGTAATTGTGTTTACATCTTATGGTGCCTAGTATTGACAAAATGTTATATCCCTATATTAAACAGATGAATCCATAGACCTTTTTATTTTTGTGGGTTTTATTTCCTACAGTGTATACTGCCACCAACCTTACAGAACGTAACATTGCAAAGTGAGGAATTGGGAACATTTAGTTGACAAAAATGCCTGTTACTTGTTTCTAAAACCTGCTAAGTTCTACCAATTATAAGGCCAAATGGGAAAAAAAAAAAACGTACATCAGGTACTCAGAATGGTATCCCACAGTGGCACTAGCTGTACTGTACAAAGAACCAGTTCAGTTGTAGGGAAGACATGCAGGACAAATGAAAACAAAAACATACACTTGCTGCCACCCCATCAGCTGTGTGAACTGACCAGCTCTGCTGAAACAGATGCCTTGTCAGATGTCTGTCAGAAGCCAACATGGGCTGTCGTCCTGAAGCCAAGCGAACAATACCTGAACGTTCTGCAGCCTGACCTCTGGGCTCCTCTCCCATGTCCACTAGCCGGCAAACTGCACCAGCTGCTGCTTCAGTTTATACCTCAATTTTCACTGTGTCCAGGCGGTACTTCGGCTCGTTGGCTAGGTTAACCTTCTCTGTCCGAGTGTGCCACACGAGAACCTGGAGGGGAGGGAAATCTTTTGGGTAGCCACACTTCTTAACGCTGACACTCAACAAGGTCAAGCAGCACAAGTGAAATGAATACCTTGGTGCAGTTACTTGCTTTTGGTTCCAGTTCTTCAACTGTTGTTATCTGTTTTAGAAAATCAGATTCTTGCATCCCTGGCTGGGATCCACGACGCTTAAATACGGCTTTTGGATTGGACAAGATGACTTGAAGACTTACAGCAAATCCTTTGTGAAAAGTTTAAAAAAAAAAAAAAGTTTAAAATAAAATACTGGTGTACTTCTCTTTTTTCTTTAAAAATTCGGACACATCAAAATTTTTTTTAAATGCCAAGTATGTGCCAGGTCTTGGTTCACGAAGTTGAATTAGGAGCATTACACGTGTGACAGTCTCAAAAGGAAAACCAGTCATTACAATGTAGTACCTTCAGGGCCATGACAAAGGTGTATGTGCGGGGTGGGAGCAGGGACAACATCTACCGTAAAATACAAAGTCTAGGCTGTTGCTAATCAGCTGCTCGTTCACAGAGGACATCACGCCCCGACACTCGGCTCTCTGGGAATTAAGAACTACATGTAGTTGAAGAGCACACAGACTTACCTAACTGTCCTCTGGGTGTGAGTGTGCCCACCGAGGTCTCCTGCCTGTTCTTTAACGTTTTTATGTGTGCTCTTATCTGAACCAGTGCCGCTGTGATTTGTGATTTACTTTAAATTTAGAAGACTGGGGAATAGAAGTCAGGTAGGAAATGAAAAGTATATAGTCATTTCGTTTAAATTTCCAGTTTGGTTCAACCTGACAAGGGTGGGGGGGGTTGGAAATCAGTGCAGGAGATATCAGTCCCATTTGATAAATTTGGTTTGGGGGCTTAGTTTCTTTAAGGAAACAAATGACTGTCAATTTCTTTCAATGGTTTAGTCATAAAAATTATTACTATTTATATCTGTAGTTTAATAAACCCTGTTTTAAAGGCTTAGCCATTAAACACTCTACAAGCTATCTAAGTAAGCAACTGCTACAAACTTTGTAGTTGTTCTGAAAGTCTGAAGCCCTAGACCTCTGCTGCTGAGGACTAAGCAGACACTCTAAAGTAAGACACCTTCCCAGAATTAGCTGTGAGGACCAATCCCCAGGAGCACTTCTTAGCAACATTTTGCCCTCTTCATTAACTGAGTTGATTTGTGTGGTGGTGTTGTTGTTGTTTTCCCCAAAAGTATAGTTAACTAAGTACCAAATGATACCAGGCAGTAATTAGGGAGTTGTGAGAAAACCACAACCAGCATTCTCATCACCTCTCCACCTGCCAGACTGGGCCAGTCCCACATCTAGGCCCTGCCTCCTCTACAGGAACACCTCCCGTGAAGCCACCTACAAACACATCACATGCTGAGTGACACATAATAAAGCCTTAACCTAAGGACTGGCCGCCCCAGTATCCTCCACAAATCCTGGGTGGAAGCAGCACATCCTAGCAGAAGGAACATTAAATCTGGAATTAGAAGCCTTTTGTTTTTGCCTGGATCCTTGTACTTGGGACATGGGTCAAGTCACTTAAACTTTCTCGATCCTGAAACTTCCCCATTTCCTCATCTGCAAGAGGTGTGACACCTTTTCAGCTCACTGTAAAATTAGTGAATGGAAAGACCCCCACTAACCACAAAGCATTGTTCAACACAGTATATAAATAAAAACACCATTATAAATATCATGAAGGGCAGGTGGCTTACGGCTGGACAATGGTTGATGATAGGAAAAGGGCCTGTGAAAGTGGTGGCAGAATCAGGCCACCTGCATGCATCTCTCACCCCTGGGCTAACAAGTCTGAAGCCTTCCTCAGACAGCTAAAACAGCCACAGACCTCTTCAGCAAAAAGCCAAAGGTTCAAATTCACACATAAAAAGTGACTTTTCTAATAGGTGAACTTTGACTTTAGTGTCCTATCATGCCTTCTTCTTTTTCTCTAGATGAGGACTGCCCTCAATCACTCAAGATTCAGGTATATTTTTCACGTGGCTTCAAGGTACTATTTCCCCATTCTTACTAAAAAACAAAACCCAAAAATGTAGAGAAGTCTGTCAGAAAATGCTACGAACCCACTTTGATTCTCTTCATTTTCCCTTGTCTTTAACACATTCATCATGGTGACCACTGAATGTGTATTTTCTTGCTCTCCTTGGTTCAGGAACAACCTTCTGTTTCTTACAAGCAAACTTACAAAGCACAGTGTACAACTTCCACAAGCAAAGCCGACGGCTGGTCCTTTCCCGGCCTCACTGGAGCAAAGGGTGCACCTGGCAGGCCAGCACCCTGGAAAGAGATGGTAGTGGGTGGCTCACCACAGTAACAAAGTGGTTTTCTGTTTTCTCACACACAAGGGGGAGGTGGGCAATTCAGATGCTCTTCAGTCTTCTGCCCCCTTTGCTGTGCCCCTGCTCAATGAGCGCTTCAAAGGAAGCAGGTCACAGCCAGCATGTAGGAACCACACACTAACTAGGCCCAAACTCTGGGTTGCCTTTCAGGGAATCATCTGACCTGCTATGAAACCGAGGGAATTAGAGAGTTCTCCTTCTAAAAGCAGCACAAAGACTTTCTAGCTCCTTAAACCACTGCTTCCAACCCAAGATGGATATTTTGGGTTTTCTTAATTTCCAAGTACTTATGCCTCAAGTATTATATGTACCCTTTTTACTAGTGAAATTAATTTAGCTTTAAGGATATTGGCAGTAGTTTTTGAGATACTAGGAGCCTTACAAAAATCATGGGAGTAGGATTCTCTGTCCTACGGATGTATAAAAAATAAAATGCAAATTAAAACTGGTTACCCAATCTTAGCACAGGACTTCCTGACTTCAGGTGAGGTAGAGATAGGGTGGAGATAACTGTCTCTTACGTATGTTTGTATACCTATGTGTGTATATGTATGCATGTGTATGCACATAAATATATGGATGTATGTAATAAATTCATGTTACACATACTCGATATAAACATAACCTAACATACATGTATTTTCTAGTACCTAGCAACATAAAATTCAAAATACCTGAGCTACAAAAATTAGCACATGCACAAATAAACTGGAAAATACAACCCCATAATGAAAACAGTCAACAGAAATCAGTAGAATCAGTCAACAGAAATAATACAGAACAAAGATATTAAAACATAAATAAACCTCATGTGTTCAAAAAGGTAGAGGAAAGATTGAGCATGCTAAGGAGATACAGAAGATAGAAAAAAGACCCAAAAGTATCCCATTGTTGTAAAAAATATACTGGCTGGTATTATCAGCGGATAAGACATTGAAGAATGAAAGACTAGTAAACCTGAAGACATAGCAACCAAAACTACCAAAGGTGTGTCATCTTTTCTGTGACACACAAGTCACAGAAACCGAATGAAAGGTGGAAATGGGATAGAAAATAAAAATTCAAGAAATAACAGAAAACTTACGAATTTGATCAATAAGGATATATAAGATTTAACCAACTTGACCTGACATTTTCGGGCACTCCATCTAACAAAACAATACACAATATTCTCAAGTACAAATGGACCATTGTCAAAACAGGCCATAGTCTGGGTCATAAATTAAATCTCAATAAATTTAAAAGAACTCAAATCATACAAAGTGTTTCTTTGACCACAATGGAATTCAAATAGAAATCAATGATACGACGAGATCTGGAAAATCTCCAAATATTTGGATACCAAACAATGTAATTCTAAATAAGTTAGGATATAAGGAGAAATCAAAAGAGAAATGAAAAAAGTGGTTAACTGAATGAAAACAAAAACAAGAATGTGGGATGCATCTAAAACAGTACTGAAGGGGTGCCTAGGTGGCTCTGTCCGTTGAGCATCTGACTCTTGATTCTGGCTCAGGTCGTGAGCTCCAAATCTTGCTGGATTCAATTGGTTGGATTCATGACATTCCATCATGACTGAGGTTTATTCCAAAACTGCAATATTGGTTTAACATTTCAAAATCAATCAGTATAATTCACCAAGTTAGACTTAAAAAGAAAAAAATTATAATAGATGGAGAAAATGAATTTGACAAAATCCAATATCAAGGTAAGATTTTGTAAAAGCTACTCAGCAAACTAATAAAAGAACTTCCTCAACTTGATAAAGGGCATCTACAAAATACCTATGGCCGATAGTATATATGCTTCATGGTGAAAAACAGTGTTAATCCCTTGAAGACTGGAATGAGGCAAGGTTGTCTGCTCTCAATTTTTATTCAACAGTGTACTGGAGGTCCTAGTCATTGCAATAAGGAAAAAACAAATACCAGACAAATGGGAAAGGAAAAAGCAAGTCCAGCAAATCTCTTCCTCCTTCCAGCCCTAGTTAAAAGCATCAGTAGTGCTTACCAGTACCTTCTATTGTGTATCAGTCTCACCCCTATATACTTGTCCCACCAGAATATTCTCTTTTCTAACTACACATAACCTAATCTCAAGCAAGACTGTTAAAAGCCAAAACTTTTCCTAATTCCCAAAGGATAGATTTTGGCAACAATACCAGTCTGGTCACAAGAAAGATACTAATGATATTTTTGTCCTGACAGCCACTCTGGATAATGGTATTAGAATGCTGGTCTCCTGACACGCTTCCACTACTGGCATTAAGTATCAGGTAATTTCAGAAGTCGGTCTCTACTCACTTGAAATTAAAAAAAAAAAAATTCCAAATTAAAACATATACATGTACATGTAGGGGCGCCTGGGTGGCTCAGTTGGTCAAGTGTCTGCCTTTGGCTCACATCATGATCTCAGGGTCGTGGGACTGAGCCCTGCAACTAGGCTCCCTGCTTCGTGGGGGAGTCTGTTTCTCCCTCTGCCCCTACCCCTCTCCTGAGCAGAAGCTCACTTGCTCTCTTCCTTCTCAAATAAATAAAATCTTAAAAACATATATATACACATATATATATGTATGTACATATATATATATGTATATATATATATACACACACATATATATACGTATATATATACACATATATATATACACACATAAATTGTCTCAGGGAATTGTCTTAGAAAGAAAGATGTGTGTGTGGCACTTCTCTCTTCTGTAATTCTTTCTGAGGTGATCCACTCTCAGCTCTTCCTAGCAGAGCACATCTGGTCTTTCAGAGAAAGTGAGAGAGAGTGTATGTGTGTGTGAGAGAGAGAGAGAGAGAGAGAGTGTGTGTGTGTGTGTGTGAATCTTCCTTATC